CCGGCATCTGCCCCGTGCGCAGGGAGCTCTACTCACAGTGCTTCGGTCAGTGCCACACTACAGCTCCCACAGCCAGCCCCCAGCAGCTCTCCTCCTCCTCCTCCTCCTCCAGGGAGGCTTAACACAGCCCATAGGGCAGCGACCACCACTTCCCACCACCACACTGCCCTTGACTTCCCTGTCACGGCCCTGTGGGTCAGGCCAAGGTGACCATCAGCACCACTGGAAGCTGTCAGCTTCTATACAGAGCATGTTATTCAAAAGACCTGTTGTAAAGCAGTGAAAATTGCAAACAAGCTTAAAAATCCCTTAGTTGTACTTAACCCAATAGTTTAAAATAACATAAAATGCTGTGCAACTGTTAAGGACTTACACTCTCTGATGACATGGTGCTGAGATGGCGCAGGATCCTTGTGGAGGCTTTTGACTCTTCTGTAAGTTTCCCCTGCAAAGAATCATTACAATTGTTTAGGTGTTTGCTCTTAGCTTCAGTGGAGCACGATCACTGTGGTTACCACAGGTTCTATCCCACCACTGTTTTTACGTGCTAGCATACAAAAGGAAGTCATTTTACTACCTGTAGTAAACCCACATTGCTCTCGTGGTGCAGAGAAGAGGTGAAAGACAACAAAACTCTGCGTGGATCCAGCATTCCCAGATAAATTACTAACAGACTGTTGTACCCTTCCTTTAAAGATGAATTGATCCGAGAAGTCACGATCAACTGTGCCGAGCGAGGGCTGCTGCTGCTTCGGGTCAGGGATGAAATCCAGATGACCATCGCTGCCTACCAGACGCTGTACGAGAGCAGCGTTGCGTTTGGCATGCGGAAGTCACTGCAAGCTGAGCAAGGCAAATCCGACATGGAAAAAAGAGTAGGTTGGGCTGTTAACCTCTTAGTGTAGTTTTCTGCTGGTGATACAACACAGGGGTATTGCATGTAAAGCTTTACATGAAACCAGCTAATTCCTATTGCCACTGGATGGCAGTGAAGATCATCAAAACACTGGGCTGTTTTCCTCGGGCTTAATTGCACTGAGTAAATGATGTGCTGTTATGTCTGGAACGTGACAAAAGACTGTACGAGGTATAGCTTTGTCCCATCGTAACTGAATATTGATTATTAACCAAGAAAACTCCAGGGATCTGTACTCTTTCTCAAGATTGCAGAGCTGGAAGAGGAAAAGCGGGAGCTGGAAGCACAAGTGAGTGACCAGAAAGCTAAATGTGAAGCTATTGAAAAACGTGAGAGTGAGAGGAGGCAGATAGAAGAAAAGAAACACTCTGAAGAGGTGCAGTTCCTGAAAAAAACCAATCAACAGCTGAAGGTTAGTTAAAAGCAAAAACACTAGATCAAGTAGTAAAACTTCCCAGTTTGTAAATTAGAAAAATAGCTTTCTCCTTATGGTTTTAGAAGTGTTACATTTATGGAGGCATTTGCATTAATGTTCTGCTTCCTTTAAATTCTCAGTGAAATGGGACAAAATTGTGCTTTTGCATTCTCCGCTTCCTTGCTCAGTCAGCAACTGGTCATTATCAGTAAACCTGATGATGCAAAGAGCAGGTCAAACTATCCAAATTCTACTTAGACACACACATTTGCCAGGGAGAGATCAGAATTTGTTCAGAAAATCATGAACTCTTACAGTCAGATGCTTCAAAACTTGATCAATACTCCAGGAATCCGCTTCTGCATAACTTGACTGTGAGGTTACAGTAGCCAGCACCCCTTCTCAGCCACAAATCAGAAAATCTAGTGCAGGCAAGTTGAGATGTTTTGTTTCTTTGCTGCTGGCCATTACAGTTGACTCCCTGATAACAAGCTGCACCATTTAACATTAAATATTGCATAATAGGAACAATTGTGTACTTACGCAGCAGGGACTAAATAATTACAGGAGCAATTTTCTGCATGCTGCTTTGGTGAAAACAGAGCTTCTGCTCATTACTTCACTTTTGAAAGGAAAAAATCCCAGTTAGTAAAGACAAAACGTTACCCTAAACAACATTAAATGTTTCTGGCTACAGCTAAAGAACATTTAGAGTGGAGACTGAGATAAGCTCTGAGGCAGAAGCTCTTCTCTGTGCGAGTGCTGAGGCGCTGGCACAGGGTGCCCAGAGGAGCTGTGGCTGCCCCATCCCTGGCAGTGTTCAAGGCCAGGTTGGACACAGGGGCTTGGAGCAACCTGCTCTAGTGGAAGGTGTCCCTGCCTGTGGCAGGGGTTGGAGCTGGAGGAGCTTTAAGGTCCCTTCAACCCAAACCAGTCTGTGATTCTATTTCCTTTACACTGAGCTGCTCTCCTTATCTTCACTCCATAGTTTCAAAACCATCTGACTCCTTCAGGCCGTCTTGAAATGTTTTCGGGTGCAAGATGGAGTAACCGTTAGATCAAATATGCACTGCCACAGAACCCACGATTCTTCCTTGAACTACGAGTACTCCAACAGCTGTGGATACACTGCTGTTGTCATTTATTTTTCATGACAGCTCTAGAAGAGGACAACCCAGGAGCCCTGGATGCTTCACACACAACATGCTCCCCGAGCATGAGTAGCTCTCTGATAAATCTACTAATTGGGCGTCAAGTTGTCTCAGTAACTGAGAAGAAGCTTGCTGTTCCCAGATACTTCTGTTCCAGAGTTTGTGTTCCAAGTGCTAGAGAGCCAAATATTTAATTTAGCTAACATAGTCCAGCCTGAAATCAGAGAATTCGGACCACTGTTTCAACAGCTTTTATTTAATTTCCTCTTCAGTGCTTTACATTATTAAACGACTCTTTCATTGTACGGAACCACCGCCAGCTCTTTTCTTCTCAGAATGCAACAAGTGTGTATGCCAAGAGCAAAAAGCTAATTTATAAAATGTGTAGTAAGGAATGGAATAGCTCAGGGAAAAAAAAAACCCTGGCCTCTTTCTCTTAAAGTATTGCAGCATCCCTCAGCTCCTCGCTTTGAATATCAGACAATTTATCACTTTACAGCAACGTGGGTTTATTTTTTAGGTTGAATCTAATTTGACTTACTGTCTCATTTGTTTTTCAGGCCCAACTTGAAAGCATCATTGCACCAAATAAGTAGATTTTGTTCTTATCCTCCAGGCAGCATTCAGAAGAGCTGTCAGAGCAAGAAGTTTGCAATTAGTAACAAAGAGTTGTCTTCGTAAAACAAGCTTGAATTTTCACTTACCGGTCACTGAAGGCAGCATAATCGTATCCTGTCCTTCTTTTTCTCTTGAAGAGTTGAAATTCAAGAGCTTCACTAATTACTGCATCCTTTTTCAATGCTGTCTCAACATTCAGCTCTTTGAATAGTGAGCATGTCTAGGACTTGCCTGTTAGTAATATGCTACATGACCTTCAAAGCAATAAACATTTCTATATGCAACCATCTCTGTAATGTTATTACTTTGAAAATGTTACAGAAAGTATGAGAAACCACATGCAAAGCATCTACAATACATCCAAGTCCCATTCACCGAGAATCAAACCGCAGGTAATTCTTGGGCAGGTATTTGGGGGGTTATTTTCTTAAGTAGGTGCATGTTGGTGTTAACCGTACATCAAAATCCCTTGTCAGTACAGTCAGCAGTAACTAGATGAGAAATACATGGTTGTTCCTAATGAAACAAAGGGGCACAGCACTTTTCCAAGCGTTGCTTCTCAGTGGGAAGCAAATGCAATCTTCACTCGAGGTACCTATGTAACTAGCTGGTTATACCCAGCAAACAGCCATGGGAAAGATAATTTACTGTAATTACATGAAAAACCTCCATAAATCTGAATTTTTCCAGAAAAAATAAAAATCAAACAAACAAGACCAGCCACCACTAAATACCACTTCAGGATCTGTTCTGCCAATGCACTGTTTACTGGCCTCAGATGGTGATGTGGAAATACCAGGATCTCCAACTGCATAAAGGACTTTCAGATGATGCAGAAACAAAGAGCGAGATGCTACTCCTGGGAACGAGGCAGACAACTCAAACTGGGCTTTGAATGGGAACTGCAAGTTTCACATTAAAAAAAGCCACTGCATACTAGAGCTGTTTTATGTAAAATTTAATAGAATAAGCAATTATTGCTTATGTTTGGAACTTCTGGGCTTTGATCTCTGTCCCTCCAAGCCAGTTTTTTTCTTGTTCTTATTCTTATTTTTCACGTTGTGAGTTTCATAATAGCGGACTCCGACTTTCTTGGAGCGCTGCTGCCTCTCAGCTCGTCTTCTCTGCAAATACACACAAACCACATTAGCAAATCCACAGTACCCCCAGCCTGGATTCGTTTGCAACTTTCAAACATACATGCCACGCACCTTAAATACAATCATTTCAAGGGAAACATTGCTGATGTGAATATATGGACATCTACATGGAACCTACCTGTGCTCTTAAACAAGGAGAGGTAACTTTAATCTTTACAAAAGCAGTACATAACACAAGAAGCAACCTGCTGTGCACAGGCACGTAAGAGGTCTTTAACAGAAGATGTGGCAGAACGCTCACAAACAGAGTTTGGTCATCTGCTCCCTTCTGACTGTCCCAACAGCCTACAACCATGCCCTAAAAAGCCCACTCTATACAAGTTTGCTTACAAATCCTTTTCAAAGTCCTGCAGACAACTTCAGTTGGTATGTAATTATTTACAATTGTTTAGGCTTGACTAACATGAAGGGAAACCAGCAGTGGCTCTCTCTGAAGACAGACCAGGACTGCCCATCTAGTTCCAAATTCTCCCATCTTCTGGGATTTAGATCCCACTCTCTTCACAGCACCAGTTAACACCAAAAGCAGAACCATTGCCCACAAAGAAGTCTCCCCTTCAACACTCTTT